GATTTTGGGAACCTATATCTTGGAGCCCTAACTCACTGACAGCTAAAACCATTCAAATATACAATCAGTAATCTATAGTACATTTTTTTTATCATGATAGTTTTCTTTCTCAAACGTAAGTGACAGGGAGCAGGGTGCCTCTGAGAGGCAAATCACTTCTTTACCCAAAATTCTCCCTGAATTTCTCTGGGTGCTGGAGGGCTGCAGTTAGGATGCTCCTGCGGTTGCCCATCCCTGACCTAACCTGTTAACAATAAGTAACAGACCATACCACAATATGCAGTGCATGTTTACCCTGTGGTAAACCAAGATACCAACTTTGTCCCTATAATCTTCTCTGGCAACACTACTGCAAGGTCTAATCATGTCCCCTACAATGTTACATCTGCTTCAGTGTGGTTTGAGTGTCACGTTAGTAATAACTCATTACTAGACAAAACTGACCAATCTCTGTATAAAAGAATAAATGGATACAAATGACATCATAAATAGCAATGACCCCAAAGTAGTGGGAGAACATGTCAGCTCGTCACTCTATCTCTGACCTCAAGGTAATGGCTTCTGAGAAAAAGAATTCACAAGAAGTTCTTTCATCCTAAAACCATCAAGTAGGTATTCATTCAAAGATTTAATACAATTTATCATGGATTAAGCAAAGAACAAGACTTCTTAAAACACTACATCTGTTAATTAACTATTCAGTTGAAGAATGCCCATGTTATACCACTTTGGTCACTTCTAACATTACTGTTTCTCACTATTTTTTTTTATTGTGCTCCTTTTTTCCTTCTCTCTCCACATTTCCAAAAGGAGCTTTATCATACTTATTATACAGGACTAAGTTCCATGGATCTGATGGACTGTGATCCATGAAGGGTTATGCAAAATAAGTACAGGTAGTCCTCAACTTATGACCACAATTGGGATGGGAACTTATGTCACTAAGCTATGTGGTCATTAAATGAGTCATACCTGATTTTACGACCTTTTTCCCATGGTTCTTAAGCGAATCACACAATCGTTAAGTGAATCCAGCTTCCCCCATTGACTTTGCTTGTTGGAAGCCCCCTGGGAAGGTTGCAAATAGTGATCACGTGACCCCGGGACACTGCAACTGTGGTAAATACATGCCTATTGCCAAGCACCCAAATTTTGATCACGTGACCGCGGGGACGCTGCGATGGTCGTAAGTGCAAGGACTAGTCATTAGTCACTTTTTTCAGCACTGTTGTAACTTTAAATGGTTGTTAAATGAATGGTTGTATGTTGAGGACTACCTGTATGTTAGCCTTTCAAATACTGCAAGACTTGTTTTTTTGTTAAACAGTTGAGAATCCAATAGGGTGGGAGTCTACACATACAGTTCAAAATAGGATGACCTCTCATCTACAGTGTTATAATGTGAAACAAGCCAAATGAACCAGAAGCTATACATGGAAGATTTCTGAATACAACTCAAACATCAAAAGGATCCATTTGACTGCATTGAAGAATGTTACTAAAAAGCGGCATTGCTAAGAGATGAATGCTGCCCTCTTAATCTCATGAAAACTGAGATAGGGTGTGAGTAATTCATCATAAACTTTAACACTCATACAATGTAAATAAAGTAACTTAAAATCATGATTATTCAGGCCAGATTCCAAAGCAGCAAATAAATCTTGTGCGGTGCAGAGCTTGCATACAAGTGCTTGAAAATTCTTGGGATAGTCCTCCATGCTAGCTTGCATATTCATAGTAATGGGTGCCAGCAGAAGAGACATATCTATGTTTATCCTTTGCCCTGGAAGAGTAATGCCAACAAAGGTATCCAGTATAGATATGCAGCAAGATGATACAATTGTACTAACTGTTTAATTGCAAGACTAAACCACACAGGTTCCTCCACTCCAGCTCAGTATTATTTTATAAGGATATGCAACGCAACACTGATATTTAAAAACAAAACTAAAGAGCAAGTTATTTCAAAATGATCTTAATTCCTTTTAGTATGGCAACAATTACTTGAACATTTTTTGGCATGAATAAATTCACATTCAGAATTTATTTATTTATTTATTTATTTACACTTATTTTAATTGTGAGCTGCCCAGAGCCACCCTCTGGGGGAGATGGGTGGCATATAAATTTAATAAATAAGAAATTTTTCTCTTAGTTTACAGCTAATGCCATCTGCAATTTGAAAGAGGCAAACTATTTTCTATAATTTCCAGCTTGGCGTTATGGTAATGGAAGATACCCTTTTTTTTTTTTTTTAATTTGCCTCCGTATTACAACTGTTTGGAGTTACGTTTTTCTAGGAACCATGGAAGGACCTCCTCTGTTGCTCTCATTTTTAAAATACAAAGGCTGCTCTAATAGCTAAACTCCTAGTGATCTGTTGTTTCTCAGGAGAAACACTGAAATGGGAAGCAATTAAATTTACAGTTTTAGAAAATGGTTGAGTAGCAGATTGAATTTGAGCAGATGTCTGTTGATCCTTTATAATTTTCCCAAAGCATAAATTTATATTTGATATTGTTGATTGTTCTGTTTCCTCTAATTTTTCCTGATTACTTTCCTGGCAAAGGTGTTCTGTTTTTTTCCTGTAATGTGTCATTTTCAAAATACTCTGATGCTTTCCCCATATTTGGCGTAGCGAGAAGGTTTAACAGATGGTTTAATTTAGATCTGTGATATATTTTTACATGAATGCACCGCTACATGCAGGATGAGGCAGAAAGCCTGCACTCACAGCTTTGCTCTGCGCGCGCACACACGCACGCGCACACAACACACAAGCCAGATGAGGCAGGTTATGGTGGGTCTTACAAGGAAACAAATAGTAAAGAGACTGTTCCTGGAACTCTCACTTACATAAAAATAGATTAAATTTGGGGCATTTGCTTAAAAAAAAAAGACTGATGAGGATCCAAATAATTGCAAATCTTTTGGACTAATGATTTCTATGGAGTACTGTATGGGTACAGATGTGAGCTTTGAATTTATTCATTCATTCATTCATTCATTCATTCATTCATTCAATATAGCCACCTATCTCACCTGAGTGACTCTGGGTGGCACACAACAGTAAAAACAGCATCAAAAACTAAACAAATCAATACAAAACAGACATAGAAACATATGAAACCATCAATAAAAATCACATTAAAGCACGCACACAAAAAAAACATAAGACAGCGGCAAATCCAATCAATACTTCATATTCAGAATAACCATTGTAAAAGCCCTCCACTATCATCTGCCCCCCAAACATGAGGGCAATGCCACATCTTCAGAGGCTTCCTGAAGGCCAGCAAGGTCGGGGCAATCTAACCTCTGGGGGAATGATGTTTCAGAGGGTGGGTGCCATGGCAAAAAGGGCTCTCTTACTAGGCCCCGTCAGATGACATTCCGTTGTAGACAGGACCCATAATATGCGTCTCCTGCCAGACCTGATGGGACAGGTAGATGTAACCAGGGAGAGGTGATCCCTCAAATATCCTGGCCCCATGCTTTATAAGTAGGGCTTTATAAGTTATCACCAGCACCTTGAATTGAACACAGAAGCATACTGGCAGCCAATGCAGCTTGAGGAGCAGAGGTGTAATATGCCCCGATCAAGAAGCACACATAACTGCCCGTGCTGCCACATTTGCGCTAGCTGCAGTTTCCAGATGTTCTTCAAAGGCAGCCCTATGTAGAGCACATTTCAGTAATCCATTCAAGAGGTGACCAGGGCATGAATAAGAACAGAGCCTCCTGGTTGTAAAGCAAAGTTATGCAAAGGCCCTCCTGGCCGTGACTGTCACCTGCTCTTTGAGCAGGAGCCTGGAGTCCAGGAGAACCCCCATATTGTGCACTGGATCCTTTTGGGGCAGTGCCACCCCATCCAGAACCAAAGATGGTAAGACCTTGGAACCAGAAGCCCCTAAAACTCAAAGCCCCTCAGTCTTGCTAGGGTTGAGCTGAAGCCAATCGTTCCTGATCCAACCCCCTACAGCCTCCAGACACCAGGACAGGCCATTGATGGTTTAATTTATATATTTATTTACATGGTTAATTTAATGCATAATTAATATATGCATTCATTTCTTGGAGCAACAATGTTTGCTGTACTGTGACTGTTTATAAATGAAATTATGGAAAGAAGCATCCCCACACAAATAATCATCCCATTTTCTCGTTTTCTGTTCTTGCTGGAAATTACAAGTATTTGATGACTTTATTAATTTTACTTTTGCAGATTTTTTTTAATACAACTAAAAGAGACATTTCAACAGTAAACTGAATTCCTGCAAAAAGACAGGAAGGTGTTTATGTTGTAGAATTTGGTCCATAGATTGTTACCCCTTCTTGCTTGACATATATTGTATATTGCATATAAAATATATCATATATGCCATGCAGGAAGGGGCAACGGTCTAGGCATAAGGACAAGGAATAACCAGAGTTAAAGTGGACAAGCTTGATGTCACATTGGCTATGTTCACACAGATGCTTTAACCATATCATCTAAAGCATAATGACTGTATTTGCCAAACATACCAGTCTTGCTTGGTTTATTTTTGTGGCCTAGCGTGTTTGCTTAGCTTTTGGTTGAGTTGACCATATTGCGCAAATCACAACACGGGTTCATTCAGGACCCAAGGGCTGTGCGAATACAGCTGTTTTGTGTGCAGCTGGAGCCAGCCTTCTGCAGATCGAACCGTCAATCGTAGGTCCTTACGGGGGAGTACAGCCAGGTAGCCCTCCGAGGAGCCCTCCAACTATGTTCTCCGAGGTGCTTATTTGCGCATTCAAATCTACTTTGCAACACCGCGCCGTCTTGTCACCGACAAACCCGCTGACATTTCTCTTCATTAAGCGGAGGTGGAGTGAGTATGTCTCTGCAAAGCAACGACACCTCTCGGCCCTTTCATACGTTATGCCTCTCACACCTCCTCCGCAGGCGCCCTTTTCCCCTCAGCGGCCACCTTTGGGCGCTCCCGTCTCCGCGCTCCGCCCCTTCAGCACTTCAGGTCGGGCAGGTCGCTCCTATTGGTTTTGAGCGCCCGAGAAACCGCGGGCGCCGCAACTGAAACTTGGCCCTTCCCAAGAGCGGAAGGTTGGCGGGGCTGGGCGGCGGGGGCGGCGGGCTGTACGTGGCCGAGCGAAGTTTCGCCCAGCAGCGCCATACCTCTCGCCCGCACGCCAACCAGGAAGCGCGGAGCTCCGGCCTTCGTCCTCGGAGGAACGCTCTGGTGGGAAGAGAGAAGGCTGCGCCCAAACCCTGGAAAAGCTCCCGGGCGCTCCGGCACATTGCTGAACGAGGACAGGCCCTTCAGCAGCTCTCGCGTTAACGGGGTAAGTTGGGAAAGTGAAGTCGATCAGGCACCCAAACAGCTTGGGATGTTTGTGCAGTAACGAAAGCTGGGTTTCAGCGGGAACCTCACCTGGGCCTCCTCCCCATCCTCGCTTTGAAGGTCGGGAATTTGGAAGCAGCCCTTCTCACGCCTCAGAAGCTTGTCCCGCTTTCTTCTGCCCGGATAGGGTCCCGTTAAATCAGCATTCATCAACTTGGCGCCTTCCAGAACTATTGGACTATTAGCCCTAGCCGGTTTAGTCAGTGGTGGCAATGCTACCTGCAAACGAAGGGACCTCTAGTCCAACGTTTCTGTACAGCATCAGGTTGCAGAAGGCTGATTGAAATCCCTGACGGCCTGTTGGTCCCTGTCCTCCATCCCAGACTCAAGATAGATTTCAGGAACAAACCCTAAAGAAAACGCCTGCTGTTGCACTCGGAACTTCAGTCCTGAATGAGCACCACCACTTTGGGAAGGTCAGGTGACTGTAGGCCAATTGGGGAAAGGATAGGCTGCAATTAAAAATGGCTAAACTCAGGCTAGGGCAAGCACATTCCCAGAAAATACAGCCTTTCCTATCACAAGTTTATCATAGTCGTTTCTGATCCCTGCATCACAGATGGGGAAATTGTGGTGCCCCAGATACTGCTGGGCTAAAATGGCATCATCTCTGACCATTGGCTGGAGCTGATGGGAGTTGGAGTTCATTGATTCTCAAGTGCTGCTTTCCCATGGCAGGATCAAACACGATGATGAGTTAGGATTTTAACATTCCTGGATGCCAAGCCTTAGGAATACAGGAGTGCAGATGAAAGATGGAAGTAAACCTTGTGAGATTAGGCTGTTTTTGTCAATTCATTTATAAAATATTGATCATAATTTAAAACAGTCCAAAGATGGGATACAATCCATTAAATACAAACATAGTTTACAGTAAGTTTAAAGTAAGACTAAGATAATTCAGTAGAAGCTTTGACACCATTGCCTTGGTTCAGTCAATGCATATACAGATAGTCCTCGACTTAGGACCACAATTGGGATAGGAACTTCTGTCACTAAGCGATGTGGTCGTTAACTGAGTCCCCAGTTTTTCAACCTTTTTTGTCATGGTTGTGGTCATTAAGCAAGTCTGGCTTCCCCCATTGATTTTGCTTGTCAGAAGCCCCCTGGGAAGGTCGCAAATGGCAATTGCGTGACCCTGGGATGCTGCAACTGTCGTAATTGCGAGGACCAGTCGTAGGTGACTTTTTTCAGGACCCTCATAACTTTGAATGGTTGCTAAACAAATGGTCATAAGTTGAGGACTACCTGTATTTACTGAGCCCAGTTTTTTTGTTTCAGTGGAAACCTAACAGATCAAAATCAAAGTAGTGTAAAACTCAGCATATCCTAATGCAGTAGGAAGCTTGAGTGGGCTTTAATTCTGTGGCTTATGATAAATAAAAGGGACAGAAAGTGCTGTGATGCAGAAGATCAAAATCAGCATTACAATCACAGAGCTGGTTTACTCTCTCTGTATGACCATAGCATTGGCTGGTTATTTGCATATTAGCTATCCCAGATCCATATGCCCAAAACAGGGATTCCTCCTTTTCTTGAACACAACACAGTTAACACATCCGCTCTGATATAAATGAGGTATGAATGATGCACTGTGCATGTGTGAACCAGTTGATAGTAGGTGCAACTGACTGAATTAAAATCCATCCTAGAGAGAGTTAAGTGACACTTTCCTAAGAAGCAGCACAGTAGACTTTGGTAAAATAATCAATTTTTCTATAAATGATGTAATTTTAAAACATTTTAATGAATTGTTTTCTGAATGGCTATAGGGAGTATTCTATTCCATAAATTTTGCTGATCCCTTAAAACAGCAACATTTTAACGTTGCCTTCTTTTGATTTTTGCCATTTGTTGTGTTCCTTTGATTTTTGCCATTTGTAGCATCATAAATTGATCTTCTAACCATTTAGTGAGTCCCTGGCGCACTATACATTTTGTTCCCCAACCTAGTGCTCTCTAGATGTTTTAGGCAAATATTTTATTGTCCTTGACCAAGTTGACAGATATGTATTTTGGGGAGCTGTTATTCAAAACATTGGATGGCGTTGAGTTGGGAAAGGGTGCTCTAACCTATACTACACAGCAAGTAATAAAACCTTATACTGTCACTTTCTTTTTTTATAGTTCATCTTCCTGCCTTATTTTGTGTTCCTTACCGAGTAACAGAATTGTTTACTGGATGTTAGCCATTCATCAAATTGAACCAGAACCAAACTTGACCTGTAGGTAACTTCAACAAGATAGAAGATGCCCCATTCTGAGAAATTTCATCAAGGCAGAAGCTACATTCCCAGGGAGACCCCCAATTATTTTGATAAAAGAAGTAGGCAACCAAATTCATCAGGTGGAAGGTAAGTTTTAAAATCATCCTTTGAACGGAACAGAGTTTTACTGCACTCTCTTTCTCTCTCATTCTCACATAATTTACTCATGTTACAGATTTGTATCAAACTGTTAAGTAGTAGAGCAGTGTTGTAATGTTCTATCAGGAAAAAAAAAGGATAAGAGCACAGTGTTTGGGTATGGGCAAAGTGTTCCCCACACCAAAAAAGCCCTCATTTAATGGGGTCAAGGAATATTTTTCTAAACTGAATAGCCTTACATGTGAGGGTTAGGGGAGTGCCCTCTTGAAATCTCTGCCCCAACAAGCTTGGGTGGGAGTTTCCATTAGTGCCAGTGTGAGTTGTTTTCTAAGCTTAATTGTTATTCACAGTGTATCAGATTTCAGGAGGAGTTGCAGTACACAGGGAAGAGAAGTAATTCTCTTTCAAAGTTCTTCCCATGTGGCTGTAAACAGTGGGAAAAACACTTGCAGACATTAATGCAAGGTGGGTTTTTTTCCCTCCCAAACTTAATTGTCCAGCTTGGGAGTGGGATATTTTGGTCTTTGCAATATGTGGTAAGAGAGTGGTAACCGTAACACGCCCATCCCCCTGTCATAGAAATTAATATCTGGGAGAGGAAAATGTTCATTGACACCAATAGATACATGAAGCTCTAGTGAAAAAAAAATATTGGAAGCTAAGGTTTTACCATTACAGTATGCGTGATTTGGCAGCGGAAGTGTTTTACATACACACGTGCATGCACGCACACACACACACACACACACATAGATCCCACATATAGTGGCAAAGGATTCTACATACATCCAATTTTGTTTTCACTTGGAACTGAAATTTTAATTGAGTGTGTTATAATGAGCATTTCTAACTTTTTGCAAACAATTTCATGCAAAATCTGGCCTGAAAGCAGATCTCCCAAAATCATTTTCAGTAGATTGCTGAATCTTCTCAGTCACCGTCTCTGGACACAGTAGCTGCCCTGCAAAGGTGGAACATACATTTGAATGAAACTTCCATTATATCACTCATCTCTCTCTCTCTCTCTCATTGTTGGGCCATTTTAAATAACCAGGAAATTCTTTCCCCTTTTTCAGAGTTGGGAGATTGCTTAAGCCCTTGGAGAAACACTAGCAAGTCTTTTTTTTTTTTTTTTAGCATACTAGACTAGATTATAAATCAAATTCTAGTTTTCTCAGGCTAGTGCTGTGGAAGTTTTTGTTTTTTTCCCTCTAGGATACTACAAGCTTCCTGTCAGAAATCCATTTACTCTGTCTTTCTAAACAGCTGATCATTTGCATGGATAGGCGGGAGGTGCATGCTTGCTTAGTATGGACACTTGGGAATGAGGGCTGTCAGCATTTGGGAAGGAAGAGCAAATATTTAATGAAGTAAAAATGGACAAATGTATCACAATGACCTATATGCAAATACACATATCCTAGGATAAAGGGGTATGTTGCTGGCTGGCTAGAATAAAAATAAAGGGAAGGAGAGCTGTAAAAAAACCCACATCTATCACTTAATATAGCAATTAATAAAGAAAAGAAGAACTCAATTGCTATTTGCTTATCTTTTTAAATTTTGGGTTTACAAATTAAATATGTGTTTCTTAAAAATATTGTTTTGGTTCTGATTTGCTTGGAATGTGACCTCTTATTGGGTACTCAGGAAGGCAAAAAACAGAAAAAACATGCTCCTCCAGATTCTCACCTGGGAAATCATTTTCTTGACTCCAAAACTGGCAGCCGGTGTTACATGTCAGCAAACTTTGCAGGCAAGCAAACTGTTGCTGGCGCACTGTCTTCCTGCCTTCCCTCTTGGAGTTCTTTCTTAATCGTGTTTCCCATCTCCATATTCTGCTGAACCAACCTAGTTCCAACCTAGTTCCACTGACTTGTGGTTTGGAACATTTTGTGCTGCTTTTTATGGCATGCTGTTTTAAGAAGAAATACTCTCAGGCTTCTTCGCGCTCTCCAGGGGCTGGGAGTTGCAACATTGCTCCCTCAGTCAGCTCCCCAGTCCTTGAGGGCTGTAGGAAGGGACAGCTCAAAATTGGGCCATGCAATTTCAGGATGTCTGGAGAGGTTGCAAGAGTTTTTAAGTATGGGCATTGGAACTGTTTATACTCCTGAGACCTCTTGTTTCCATTCCCGCTCTTACTTAGGAGAAAACAAAGGAACAAAATTGCATCTTCAAGAATTTTACAATATCTAGGTGGTGAGGGAGCAAAAAGGAGTGCTGGCTATCCATTGATAGCTCACCCTGGCTTAGGCCAGGAACGAGGACAACCGTTGGAAGGGACAAAACTCTATCGCCATCAATATTTGGGGACAACAGAAACTGATAGTTTTGATAGGACTTACATGCCATAACATATGAGGGTAAATGCCTAGCCTAGCTTTACTCTGCTTGTCACATTAACATGTTTATGGAGTGCAACTCTATTATTTCTAGTTATTGTGATCTTTGTCCGTTTTGGCTGAGAATTCTTGGAGTTGTAATTGCAACTTTTCTGGGAGACATTACATTGGAGAAAAGCTGTTCTAGTGGAAGAATGTACAGTCTTTAGACTCAGGACCATAGTTGCCCCTTGGAGTGCTGTGTGTTGGCAAGCAAGGTCCAGGACAAAAACTAATTATGATTTAATGTAATGTATATTTAAATACAGTTAAGAATTAGTTGAACATATTTAATATAGTTGCTTCTCATTGGTTTAATAATGTTCCCATTAACAATAGTTAAAAATACTTTAGGAGCAACTTTGGTGTATTTTCCAAAAGCCACACCCAAGGCTGTCAGGCATTATATATAATTCTGGAGCTTCAAGTTGTTTATCTTTGGTCTAGAGTATCTGGCAGCTAGAAACATGAGGCTGTTGAACAAAGAATGAACAGAAGCTAAAGTACAGCAATTAATTCTTCAGATTTTCAAGGCAGACAAGGCTTTTTTGTAGTTTGGTGAAGGCAGTATGCTACTTAGAGAAGCGGGGGGCGGGGAACATAATGAGAAGAATGGCTTCAGCAGAGACTTTGCCTGAAGTAATTAATGAAGAAAGGATGCTCCAACAATGTGATCAAAGTTTAATATTTTCAGAAGTTGGTCAGGTAATATCAACTGCTCCACTATATTCAGAGAAAAGTTGACAAAAAAGTACAGGTAGTCCTCGCTTAATGACCATTTGTTTAGTGACTGTTCAAAGTTATGACAGTGCTGAAAAAGTGACTTACAACCAGTCCTTGCACTTACAACCATTGCAGGGTCTCCACGGTCATGCGATCGAGATTTGGGTGCTTGGAAACTGTCACACATTTACAACAGTTGCAGGTTCCCGCAATCAAGTGATCGCCATTTGCAAGCTTCCCAACCAGCTTCTGACAAGCAATGTCAATGGGGAATCCAGCAGGAGGTTGCAAGTTGCAGTCACATGATGTTGCGCTTAACGACTGTGGGTGATTCTCTTAATACAGTGGGGCAAAAAAGTATTTAGTCAGCCACCAATTGTGCACGTTCTCCCA